AATTGCTTACCTTTATAGCAGGTCCTATACCTAGTAAAACATAATCTCCAGGAAGCCCTGGGAGGTGAGCATGGCAAGGTCATTATTTTCATTTTATTGAGGTTTCCAAATGAGTGAGAAGGAACTGCTTCCAGCTGCACAGGTGGTAATGGCCTCTGGTCCAAACTGCCACTCCTCTGAAGGATAGGCAGAGGGGTCTGATGTGGCACAGGGCAGAGAAGAGCTGTGCCAGGCTGGAGGAATCTTTTGAGACCATCCATTCGGTGATTTCAAACCTCATTGGGCATCACAATTTCTTGAGGGAGAGGGCTTTCAAAACTGCCAATGTAAACTGGGCAAGGTGGCACATGCCCATAATCCCAGAGACTCGGGAGGCTGAGGCAGAAAGATCACAAGTTCAAGGTCAGCCTCAGCAATTTAGTGAGACCCTGTCTCAAAATAAAGAACTGGGGCCAGGTGCAGTGGTGCACCCCTGTAATTTCAGCAGCTCTAGAGGCTGAGGCAGGAGGATCAGGAGTTCAAAGCCAGCCTTAGCAACACTGAGGCACTAAGCAACTCAGTTAAACCCTGTCTATAAATAAAATACAAAAAAAAAAAAAAATAGGGCTGGGGATGTGGCTCAGTGGTTGAGTGCCCCTGAGTTCAATCCCTATTACCCACCCTCCCCGCCAAAAACAAACAAACAAACAAACAAACAAAAAAACTGGAAATGTAGCTCAGAGGTAAAGTGCCCCTGGGTTGAATTTCCAGTATCAAACAAAACAAAGCCAGAAAGAAAAATTTTAAAAACTGCCAAAGGAGGTGCTGCCTTCAGGGCAGAGGTGGCTCAGAGGTAGAGCAAGGACATGTGTCTATTGGTACTGAGAATTGAATCCATAGGTGCTTTTACCGCTGAGCCACAGCTCCAGTCATTTTACTTTTTTATTTTGAGACAGAGCCTCACTTAATTGACCAGGCTGGACTCAAAGTTGAGATTGTCTTGCCTCAGCCTCCTGAGTTGCTGGGATTATGGGTGTGTGCCACGGCGTCCAACTTAGAGCGTGTATTTAACATGCTCTAGGTCCTGGGTTCCATCCCCAGCACCACACATACTTTCACATACACAAAACCTGTCAATGACCAAAGTCTTGGATATTTTGATTCAGTGATTGTTCTGGGCTGAGATGGGAATTTTTCAATAAAAAAAAACACTTTTAGGGCTGGGGTTGTGGCTCAGAGGTAGAGCACTCGCCTAGCATGTGTGAGGCACTGGGTTCAATCCTCAGCACCACATAAAGTTGAAGACATGTGTCCACCTATAACTAAAAAAATAAATTTAATAAAAACACTTTAACCTGTCACTTTATAAATGAAGATGCTGAGTTTGGAGTGGGAATTCTAACACAGCTAATAGTTATTGAGTGTTTACAAAGCCAGCCACTGTTGTGAATAGCCGGCACAACAGGGACCACATCAGTTCTTTGGCTCAGGTGAGAAAACAAAGCACTCCAGCATCACACAACCAAGAATCGGAGGGCCTGGGATTCAAACTCTAGAGACCTGGCTTCAAAGCCTACATTCCCCACCTTGACCCCATGGCCGTCCAAGCCAAAGTCACAAGGAAGCTGGTGGTGGAGCCAGACCCAGATCCCAGGTCTCATCTGGGCAGAAAAGTCAGAGAGCTTGTCAAAGGGGGTGAACTGAAGTTAGAGAAGCTGCAGTGCAAGAGAAGGCTGTGATGCTCCCCCATCACAGGGTGGAAGGGCCGTCCTGCTAGGAGGCCATCTTCCTCTACTTCCTCCCCCTCCCAAGGGGAGCCCTGACCAGTCCCAGCTGAGCTGTCACCCTCCCTGTGCTAATTGATGCAACCTCTTAATTGCTGATCACTTGGAAGCAATTAAGCCCAATTAGGGAGCCAGCAGCTAATTAGTGCTCAGCTTCCCACAGCCTCTGGGCATCCCTGGGGTCTGCAGGAACCTGTTACCCACCTCCCCACCCCCATCCCCAAGAAGGAGGATTACGAAAGTGTGGGGCAGGTTGAAACTTCATGCTCTTCTTTGACTCTCCCAAAGATCAAAGGTTGAGCATCTCGGTTTACCCCCCACCTGTAGACCATATGGCAGCTCTCTCAGGTCCCACTAGACACGACTTGCCTTCCGTGACAACCGACAACATTCATATCACTCCATAGTTCACAAGTATTTGCCTCAGCCTCCCAAGTTGCTGGGATTACAGGCGTGTGCCACCGCACCTGGCTCACCTCCATGATTCCTGATGGAACATGGTTGACAGGTGGGACATGAACTGGGCACCTTCTTTTCACATGCTACACTGTGCCAGCTTGTTCCATTTTATCTGCTTTTTCTCTCTGTGCTCACCTGCCTGTTTCTGTTCCAGAGAACCCAGCACCAAATTCAAGAAGTTCTTTCTGGGATCAGAGCACTTGGAATCTGCAGGCGGGGAATCTAGTTCACTCTTCCATCAACTTGCTCTGTGACTTCAAAAAAAAAAAAAAAAAATGACTGCCTTTTTCGGGCCTCAGTTTCCACATCCACAGAGCAAGAGGACCAGAATGAAAGATCTCTCTACTCTTTTTTGTTCTTGTTTTCCTTCCAGTGCTAGGGATTGAACCCAGGGCCTTGCCCATGCCAGGCAAGCACTCTGTCACTAAGCCACATTCCCAATTCCTTTAGATTTCTAAGGCCCTTCCAACTTCCATCCATTTTGCTACAGGAGAAGAAAGAACAAGGGGTTGGGTTTCCCTCTTGCATGTCATGGAGGCCTAGGGTGTGATGGGGATACCCCCTTGGTACTGAAATTGTGGGGGCCCCACAGCTGAACAAGAATGAGATTATTCTGATAGGGACTAGAAGAGGCTGGGAACCCCCAGGTTCCATTAGGGGTTGGAGTTTTGGGGTAAGCAGATATGACGATTACGAGAATATCACTCACTCACACACGCACATAGATTCACATATACTCCTATACTCAGGACCAGGACAGAGAGAAAGTGAAAAGGGATGGATGTTCGGGCCTATTCTCTTGGTCTTGAAGGCAAATAGAAAGAAGGCTGGATACAGTTTCTAGCCTACATCAGAAAGGCCGTTTGCCAGCCTCCCTCCCTCTCAGTGTTGGGCTCACGCAGGACAGGCAGGCAAGCGAGGCTGGGGGAGATGGAAGGATCCTTTCTCCATGTCCTCTGAGGCCTGAGCTATACCCTATGTTCCTTCCTCTTCGTCCTTTTCTGCTTTCTGGGTCTTCCTAAGAGTGCTGAGTCAGACTATCCTGTGTGCTAACCCTGGTTCTGCCATTCATATACCCACCTATGTCACCATGACACTTTTCTTTTTTTTTTTTTTAATATTTATTTATTTTTTTTTTTTTAGTTTTCGGTGGACACAACATCTTTGTTTGTATGTGGTGCTGAGGATGGAACCCGGGCCTTACGCATGCCAGGCGAGCGCGCTACCGCTTGAGCCACATCCCCAGCCCACCATGACACTTTTCTTTAAAATGGGGGATGACAGTATTTCCACAAGCATGTTGTGAGCAATGAGAGAGACGTGCGTATGTGAGTGGAACAGAGGGTGGACCCCGTGGGGGCTCAGTTCCTCCATCCTTCAGGTCCCCTCCCAGGCACAGCAGAAGCCCAGGGGCCAGGGTTGGGAGATTGCAGGAGCCACAGGGCATCCGGTCCCCAGCACCAGGGTCCCTCTGCAGCCTTCCCTTTCCTGTGATGAATCACTGCTCATGGGCCCTGGGGACCCAGGAGTCCCCAGCTTGCCACAAACACTACCGTTGTCATGGAAACCAGGCCTCCCCTTCCTCTTTGGCTGGTTGATTTCACCGCATGGCCTCCCACACTGTGGTTCCTAGATCTCAGCTTTTGACTCTGGATTGACTTAACTGTCTCTCATCTCAGGTCCCCAGGAGAACAGTCTCACCGTCACTCTCATGGTCTGCACTCACAATCCCTCTGGCGGGCCTCTTTCCTCCACGGTGGCCCCACTCCCTTTCTTTCCAAGTTCCTCTGGGAAACTCATAGGCAAACATCTTTCCAGAGGGGTGAGGAGGTGCCTGCCTGTCATCCCAGCGACTGGGGATTCTTAAACAGGAGGATTGCAAGGCCATCCTAGGCAATTCCGCCAGACCCTTTCTCAAATTAAAAAAATTAAAACGGGCTGCAGGAGTAGCTCAGTGGTCGCGCACTCCTAGGTGCAGTCCCCAGCACTGTAAAAGAAGACAAAAAGAAAACATCTCTCCGAGAGGGTTGAGAGAGTCACCCCAGCTGCCTGGGGCCTGGACCCTTGCTCGGGCGTCAGGACCCCATCTGTCCAGCATCAGCTAGACCTCTCAGCGTTGGTGGATGAGATCAGCCAGGGCAAGGGAGGTGGCCCCGGGAAGAGACCGACAGGCGCTGGCGCCACCTGCTGGAGGGGGCCCGGGGACAGCCCCACCTTCTTCCCGATGGGCGTGTCTAGCCCTGAGTAGCAGAAGGCCCTGCCCACGTGTGCTGTCAGGAGAGAAAGTAATCCATATCTTTTGCTCACTCATTCATTCACAAGTATTTACTCAGGGCCGTCTGTGTATCCTCGTGGAACAAGTGATGAAAGTTGCCAGGTGTGATGCACACACCTGTAATCCCAGCAACTAGGGAGGCTGAGACAGGAGGATTGTGAGTTCAAGGCTAGCTTCAGCAATTTAGTGAGGCCCTAAGCAGTTTAGTGAGACCCTGTCCCAAAAGAAAACATTAAAAAATAAATGGCTGGAGATGTGGCTCAGCATCCCTTGGATTCCATTCCCATACCAAAAATAAATAACTAAAAATAAAATAGGGCTGGGGCTGTTTAGCTCGCAGTAGAGCCACATAATTTCAATCCCTAATTCCTGAAAACACACACACAGAGAGAGAAACGTTTTAAAGTGGTGGAAGTTCTCAAAAGGGGAGGCTCAGGGTCAGGGACTGGATGCACCTGACCCAGCTTGCTGTTATGGAAGGGATGATTAAGCTGAATCCTGAATAATAACAACCAACATTTATTAAGCACTTTCTGTGTACTAGACGCTGCTATGTCAGTACTTTAAATGCTTTTCCCCACTAATTGTACAACAATCCCATGAGGTAATTGCTACCATTATCTTCATTTTATAGGTAGGGAAACAGGTTCCGAGGTGCTAGGGAATCTGCAGGCGGTCACAGGTAGTAGGCAGGCTCCTTGTCCAACTACAGGCTCCTGCTTGAAAAGTCAGGTGAAGAAAGTTGTAGCCAGGGCTGGAATCGTTGGCTGTGTGGACAAAGGAGGAGAAATGGGTGAAGGAGATCAAAAAGGAACCCCCAGGCAGGCAGCAGAAAACCTAGGGAGGGACTAAATATTTCTTCTTTTTGCAGTACTGGGGATTGAACCCAGGGCCTTAGCACATGCTAGGCAAGTGCTCCACCACTAAGCTACATCCCCAGTAGAAGCAGAAGGAATTCTGAGAGGACAGAGGCACCAAAGGGTCAGAGGTCAGAAGTCAAATAAGATAAAAACTGAGACTGGACTAGCTCCTACTCACTGGGAGCTCCAGGCAATGTGGAAAGTTGGGGCACAGAAACATAAGGAGGCCAGAATAGGTAGTCTCTCTGCAAAGGTCTGAACATCAGAACTAGGTCATCCAGTAGGTCATGAGTAGTCTACCAAGAATGCCTGAGAGGGCAGTTAACCATCTGGAAAGGCATGCAAGTGCCTCGAGGACACTTGGGACTGGATACGAGAAATAATTGGAGGTCTGGGGACATAATGAAAGTGTAAAACAGCCTGACCTCTGACCCCACAGGCTCCTGAGGGAGCTGGGATAGGGACTAGTGCAAGAAGGTGCAGCTAGAAGAGTACCTTGGGAGAGCCTGGTGCGGTGGTGCATACCTGTAATTACAGCTGCTTGGGAGGCTGGTGAAGGAGGATTGCAAGTTCAAGGCCAGCCTTAGCAATTATGGAGACTGTCTCAAAATTTAAAAAAAACTTAAAAAGGGCTGAGGATACAGCCCTGAACAGAGCACTCTTGGGTTCAATCTCCAGTACTATTTTTTTTTAAATAGTCCTTAACCACTGAACAACATGCCTAGTCCTTTTTGTATTTTATTTAGAGACAGGGTCTCACTGAGTTGCTTAGGGCCTCACTAAGTTGCTGAGACTGGCTGTGAACTCGAAATCCTCCTGCCTCAACCTCCAGAGCCACTGGGATTACAGGCATGCATAGCACCTGGCTCACTCCCCAGTACTTTAAAAAAAAAAAATGTGCCTGGGAGACCATCTTCACCTGCAGTGGCGAGCTGAAAGCAGTTGTACCTGCTAATGAAAGCCCGGTGTTCACATTGAAATTAGCCATGGTGAGAGAATTTCACCATAGAGGTTCATATTTGCCACAAATCACAGCTTTCCCCACTCCTCTTTATTAAACATTTACCAGCATAACAATTCTCCTGTGCCAACTTCACAGAAGAGGAAACTGAAACCCAAAGATAAGGAACGACTTATTCAGAATTACATATGGAATTTTTCCCCCTTTGATCCTTTCAATCAATCATTGACTCAACAAATTTGGAGCCAGTAGTAGTAGTGCACACTTATAACCCCAGGACTTGGGAGGTTGAGGCAGGAAGATCTCAAGTTTTAGGCCAGCCTCTGAAACCTAGTGACACCTGTCTCAAAATAGAAAATAAGGACTGGGGATGTAGTCCAGTGGTATAGCACACACCTAGCATGTGTGAGACCCTGGGTTCAAGTTCCAGTACTACCAAAAAGAAAAGAAAAGGGGCTGAGGATCTAGCTTAGTGCTAGAGTATCCCTGGCTTCAATTCCCAGTACCGAAAAAAAACACAAATAATAATAATTACTATTATCATATCACGAGCCGAGTGTCTCCTCTGTGTTAGGCTTTGGAAAGAAACATCCACTGTCCTGCTGGAAGCTCTTTCAGTCTGGTATAGCACACAGAACATGGAAATTGGCTTTGAACACTGAGGGCCAATTACCAGCAAGGGGCAAATACCAGGTGCTGTAGCCTTGTAGGGGTGCACATCCATCGGCTTGGCCAGGAAGGCTTCTCAGAGGACATGACACAGGTCTGGAGGATGCATTCAAGACAGAGGGAAAGCAAGTGAAAGGCCTAAGAGCCGAGGGCCTGGCAGGAGCCTGCGAGCCATGCATTCCTTGTGCAAGTCTCATTTTGCCAGCAGTGACCGGGAGGAGAGGTTTACAGTCTAGAGATACTTGCTGGGCCACCAGCCAAAAGCTACATCAGTGAGTTAGCACAGTGATCGCATTCCTGAGCCCCAGTCTAGGTGTGGAAATTGAGGAATCCAGTGACAGTATAGGCCAAGCCTTTTGCAGACAGCACCCCCTGGGGGCCAGATGGGGGAGCTGTGAGAGGTTAGGTGACAAAGGGAGGGAAGACATGGAGCAGGGTGTGCGAATGAAATAGGGTAAAAAAGCAGAGAGAGAAGTTGAATATTGGGCAGCGTATGTGGTGGGGAGGAAAGTATAGATGAACATGCACAACTTCCAAAGGGCAACCATGTATTGAGCACCTACTGTGTGCCAGGCGCTGGAACATAGGAGTAGACTAGATCCAGTTCTTGTCCTCAACGGAGCTTCTGATGTATTGGAGTAATAAACATAAGCAGGACGGGTGCAGTAGCATGCCTGTAATCCCTGCAGCTCAGGAGACTTAGGCAGGAGGATCACAAGTTCAAAGCCAGTCTCAGCAACTTGGTGAGGCCCTGTCACTCAGCGAAACCCTGTCTCTAATTTAAATACATTAAAGGGGGGGGGTGCAGAGGATGTGGCTCAGTGGTTAAGCACCCCTGGGTTCAATCCCTGCTACCAAATAAATAGATAGTTACAATATAGTTCTCAGGAATGGTAAAAAAGACACACAAAAGTAACCAGGGAAAATTTCTGGGGGAAAAATGCCATTGAAATTGAAGATGAACAAGCATTATCTTACCCAGGTGAAAGGTGGAGTAACGGGAGGGAGGTTTAGGGTCAGCTGGATAGGAAGACAAGCGCCAGATCATGAAGAACATAACTACAGGAAGGAACCTGAATCTAACGGCAAAGGAAAGCTAATCCAGGGTTTCAAGCAGGAGGGTTTCATGATTTTATTTATTTATTAGAATATACTGAGAATTGAACTCAGGGTCACTCGACCACTGAGCCACATCCCCAGCCCTATAGTCCTATTTTGTATTTTATTTACAGACAGGGTCTCTCTGAGTTGCTTAGTGCCTCACCATAGCTGAGGCTGGCTTTGAACTCACAATCCTCCTGTCTCAGTCTCCCGAGCCACTGGGATTACAGGCATGCACCACTATGCCAGGCTCCCAATCCTTTATATTTTGAGATCGGTTATAGGTTATAACTAACTTGCCCAGGCTAGTCTCAAACTTGGGATCCTCCTGCATCAATCTTTAGAATTACTGGGATTACAGACATAGGTCACCAAACCCAGTTAGATTTCTTCCATTTACTTATTTATTTACTTGGATACTAGAAATTAATTTTTTTGTGGTGCTGAGGATCAAACCCAGGGCCTCACGCGTGCGAGGCAAGCGCTCTACCACTGAGCCCCAGCCCCAGCCCCAGCCCATCCTCAGCCCTTTTTGTTTTTAATTATTTATTTATTTAGAACTCAGGCATTTTGATTTTATTTTTGTTGTTGTTGTTGTTTCTTATTTTGAGACCAGGTCTCACTACATTGGTGTGGGACTCTCTAGGTTGAGGAGGTTGGCCTTGAACTTGCAATCGTCCTGTCTCAGCCTCCCGAGTTATTACAGCACCCTCACACCCAGACAGATTTCTTTTAAATGATCTCTCTGACTGCTGTGTGGAGGGTGGACTGAAGCAGGAAGGGGCAAGGCAAGGACAGAGGCAGGGAGACCAGTTACAGGCAATTTCAGACATGGTGACGATGGCTCACATCGGGAGGGTAGCAGGAGCAGAAGAGTAACAGGAAGTTAATGGACATGGGATTTTTATTTTTTCTTTTGTTTGGTACTCAGGATTGAACTCAGGGCCTTGCACATGCTAGACAATTGCTCTACTACTAAGCCACATCCCCAGTTCTTTTTTTTTTTATATACCTTTATTTTATTTATTCATTTTTATGTGGTGCTGAGGATGGAACCCAGTGCCTCACATGTGCTAGGCAAGTCTCTGCCACTGAACTATAGCCCCAGCCCCCAGGCCCAGTTCTTGGGAAATGTTATTGAGGTTTAGTAGAGAGAACTTGTTGCTAGACCAGATGGGAGGAAATTAGGTGAAAGAGAGAACAGTGAGAAGGCTCCAGATTTCTGGCTTGAGCAACCAGGTGGATGGTGATGTCATTTACCAGAAGCTGGGGGAGGAGCTAGTTCAGACTGGTGGAAACAGAGCCAGAAATTGGGCTTGCAGTTCCCAAACCAGCACCTGTTTCCCTGCGGGGGTTGCTGGGAGGAGGCAGCAACCAGGAGGCAGAATTGGAATTCTCCAATTCAGGGCAGAGGAAGGGGAGTACAAGGAAGAAGCAGGGCAGAAAAAGGGAAGAATAGTAACAATACTAACCTATGTCAGGCATTGTGCTACATGCTTTATATATGTTCAGTGAAATTCTCACAACAAGATCATCTTTCCCGAATTAGCTACCTCAAACCCTTCCACCTTCATATCCTGCTTTTTTTTTTTTTTTTACTTAAAAAAAATTATTTACTGGGTTGGGGATCTACCTCAGTTGGTAGAGTGCTTGCCTTGCATGCCCAAGCACCACCACCACACAAAAATTATTTACTTATTCAGTGGTATTAATGATTCAACCCAGGGGCCTCTACCACTGAGTTAGACCCCAGCTCTTTTTATTTTGAGACAGGGTCTCATTAAATTGCCAGGTTGGCTTTGAACTTGCAGTCCTCCTGCCTCAGCCTCCAGAATCACTGGGATGACAGGTGTGCACCACTGCTATACTGGGGATTGAACCTAGCGCCCTTTGCTTGTTAGGTGAGTGCTCTGCCATGAGCTAAGGTGCCAGCCCAATTTTATTTTTTCTTGTAGCAAGTATCACTGCCAGAAAGGACATTGTCTATTTGTTTACCATTTGCCTCCCCCCCCCCATAGAATATGGGCTCCGTGAGAGGAGGGATTTTATATGTCTTGTTCTCTGATATATCTCTGATGCCAAAGCAGTGCCCAACATAGCAGGTGCTCACTATATATTGACTGAATGGTGAAAATCTTTAAATTCTTGTTAGGTAGTTTTTTTTTGTTGTTGTTAT